CCTCTTTGACCTGTCTGTTTCCTCTCCACCTATCCTCTCCTCTATCCATCTTCTATCCGCCTCCCCCTCTCTCCCTATTCATTTCAGAACCCCCTTCCCCTCCCCCTTTTCTGATGAAGGGACCAAAGTTGAGTTTGTTCTTTCACTGGGAATGGAACATCCCAAAAGTTGTCACAGGGTCTCCACCATTGTCTTGCTAGATAAGGCCCTGACACAAACACGCTAACATGGTGAATTGTACACAGCATCTATTTTCACAAATGTGTCTTTTATCTATGCTATAGGCTGGGAATGGAGCAGGATCAAAGCCCAGTGATCTTCTTGATGTTCTCACCCAGTACAGAGGATTTTCCTGGAGGTTAGTAATTTTTGCTCTCCGCCTTCTCTTGAGTCCAAGAATGAAAGTTTTGTCACTTTATGCTTGGCTGGGTGCGTAATTCTTATCTTTAAATGTAGTTTTCTGAGTAGTCTTGAACAGCAATGATAAATGTTCATTTCTCAGACTCAGTACTTCGAGTAAATCCCAATCTTCATTTTCTGATCTGCAGCACATTTCAATAGATATTAAATTGCCCACAGTGTCAAGGGGTGTGCAGGCTATGTGGATTAACAATGGGAAATGCAGGGTTACAGGGATAGGGTAGGGGGATAGGTGGGATGCTGTTCAGAGGGTCAGCGTGGACTTGATGGGTCAAATGGCCACTTCCACACTGTAGAAATTCTATGATCCACTTCTGCCTTAAAAATAATCAAGGACTATTTTAGAATCATAGAATAGAATGGGGGTGGTATGGTGGCTCAGTGGTTAGCACTGCTGCCTCACAGTGCCAAGACCCAGGTTCGATTTCATCCTCAGGCAACTGTCTGTAGGAGTTTGCACATTCTCCCCGTGTCTGCACAGGTTTCCTTCGGGTGCTTCAGTTTCCTTCCACAGTCCAAAGATGTGCAGGTTAGGTGAATTGGCTATGCTAAATTGCCCATAGTGTTCAGGGATGTGTAGATTAGGTGGGTTATAAGGGGATGGGTCTGGGTGGGGTGCTCAGAGGTTCAGTGTGGACTTGTTGGGCTGAAGGGCCTGTTTCCACACTGTAGGGATTCTATGAATAATTTTATAAGGTGTAACTGGAAAAATAGATGAGAGGTCACTAGTTGATGTCATTTTTAGATTTTCTGAAAGCTTTTGCTAAGGTCACACAAAAGGTTGTTAAATTAGAGCACATGGGGTTGAGGGGAATGTACTGAAATCACAACCTGATAAACAGAGAGAATACTGAGTACAGGAATCAATAAGTCATTCTCAGGTTAGCAGCCTGTGGTTGATGAGGTACCACAAGGATCAGAGCTTGGGCCCCAGCCATTCACAAAACATATCAATAATTTGGATGTGAGGATTAAATATAATATTTCCAACTTTGTGGGTGACACAAAACCAGGCGTAAGTGTGAGTTGTGAGAAGGATGCAAAGACACTTTAAACGCATTTGGGGCGACTCAGTGGGTGGGCATAAAATTGCTGATGGAATACAACATGGAGAAATGTGATGTAAGCACTTTGGTAGGCAAAATAGAAATGTGGAGTATTTTATAAATAGTGAGAGCATCAAAGGGGCTTGGGTGTCCTTGTTCATGACTCACTGAAGGTTAAAATGCAGGTACAGCAAACAAATTAAGAGAGAAATGCCACGTTGGCTTTAATCGAGGATTTGAGTATCTGAGCAAAGATGCATTACTACCACTATATAGAGCCTTGGTGAGACCACACTTAGTGTACTGTAGGCAGTTTTGGTCTCCTTGACTAAAGGTTATCACAGAAATAAGGAGGAATTTCTGCTTCCAAAAGGCAGTAAATTTGTGGAATTCTTTACCATAGAGGGCTATTGAGGCTGGGTTGTTACGTATATTCAAGGTTTAAATAGATAGATTTTTAATCAGTGAGGCAATCAAGGGTTATGGCGAAAAGGCAGGAAAGTGGAGTTGAGGATTATCAGACCAACCATACTTTCATGGAGTGGTGGAGTAGACTTGCTGGGCTGATTGGCCTAATCCTGCTCCTACATCGTATGGTCTTGTGGAAAGATCTATTTGCCAGATGGAATGCAACAAAGGTTTACCAAACTAATTCCTAGGTTGGAGGATTTGTCCTGTGAAGAAAGGTTAAAGAATCCAGAGCTACATTTTCTGGACATTGAGAAGCATGGGTGGTTTAAACACACAAAATAATTCCAGCAATCAACAGGTGGATACAGGAAAGATGTTTCCCCTGGAGTGGGGCTGGGGGACAGGGTATCTAGAACCAGGAGACAGTCTCAGAGTTAAAAGCAGATCGTTTAGGACTGAAATGAGGAAGGGCCTAATCAATCAAGTGGATGTGAATCAGCCCAGAGAATTGTGGGTGGATTTCTTTCAGTTTGTTCAAGACTGAGATTGACCGGTTGATAAATCAAGGGATTAAGGATAGTGCAGAAAAATAGTGTTTAAGATCAGCCACGACTTCTTTTAATGGCAGAGTGGGCTTATAGGGCTGAGTGGCCTACTCTTCCTCCTATTTCTTATGTTCTTCAGGCATGATCAACAGTGTTGGAGGCAATTAACCATTAATGGTTAGGAGGCCAGAACTTGGGGGTGGGGTGGGGGGTGCGGGAGGGTGGGTAGCGGTGGGGGGGGAGGGCGGGGTGTGGGGGTGGTGGGCACAGAGATCCCAGAGAGCTGCTGGGCTTTAGGAAGTGACAAAGGTAGGATAGATGGAGGAATGCAAACAAAGGTGATGAGAAGTTTAAAAACAAGACTGAGCAGCTTGCCCATTGCTAATGTACACCTGATAAATGGCAGAACAATCTCTCAGCATGCAGCAATTTTTTTTACTTCCATTTCATGACTAGTTTGTGAATTTCACAGTAAGTGGAAGTGAACTGAAATGAACACCTAACTTTTGTGTTTCACAGCATTGGAGGAGATGAAAATATAACTGCTGTCACCACATTGACGAGTAAGTAGCTCATATTCTATCGAGGTTATTCATCCATATTGGTTTCTTGCAAGATATCATTCTTGCCTTACTTTCCTTCAATGCCTGCTATCATTGGCAGCCCAGGCTGGTAGGGGCAAGGGGGTACCACTGCAGGGGTCCTCAGGGCAGGCTGAAGGTGGAGAAGACTTGGTTTTCATGTTCACACATACTTATCATTGTCAGTAACTAGAAGCTGTGGCAGCTTGCACCATACATTTTTTGCTTCCAGCCCTTAACCTCATTTTAGAAAGGCTTGGCTTTAATTCTTAGCCAATATCCCCCCATTTTTAGGCAGGGGTTTGGCACAAGATAAATTGGTACAGACAAGCTGGCACAGACAAGCTGGACTGAGTGGTCTCCTCCTCCTTTCCTGCAGCCATTCTGTGCTTCTCTGACTCGTTACATTCTCAATTTCAGGGAATACAACCCCTGTTTGTATTACTTATTATTGCAATTTAACTTCTGGAGTCTAAGCATTATTCTGGAAAATCTACCATGCACTCCCACCAAGGACAATATAAAGTTTAAAGTACAAAGGTGTAGTGACCTGAACTCAATGCAGTGTTCCAGTGCTTTGTAGAGCTGTAGCTGCCATCTACTCTTCGGTGTGTACCAGTACTCCAAATATAAAAGTCCACATTAAACGATGAGAGCAGTGAGCTGTTTGGTAAACTTGAAACTGGAAGGTGTATCCACAATTATCTTATGACTGTAGCATTTACTGGCTACAGTGCAACAACACACCAAAGAGGTTACCTTGACAGCACAACCTTCCCCTGTGAATAAGTGGTTTGTTTTATAAGGGTGTAAAGCTCCGAAAGGGTTAATGGTGAGGCTTGCTTTAAACACTTCATGTGGATCAGGTTGGGAGAACAACTCCAGACCTTGCAGGAGATAGAACTATCATCGAGGTCCCATCATAACCTTATTAATAAAGTCTATCATTGCAACATACACCTAGTCACTAACATGAAACTAGGACTCAGTCTCCCCTTAAAGACTCATCCACGCTCAGCCTATCTGTACATTCAGCTATATATCTGTCACCTGACCTCCTCATAGAATTCCTACAATGTGGAAGCAAGCAATTCAGTCCATCGAGTCTACACCAACCCTTTGAAGAGCAACCCACTCAGACCCACCCCATCCCTGTAACTTTGCATTTCCCATGGCTAAACTACCTCGCCTAAACTTTCTACCTGGACTGTGGGAGGAAACCTGAGCACCCGGAGGAAACCCATGCATACACGGGGAGAATGTGCAAAGTCCACATAGACAGTCGCCCATGGCTGGAATTAAACCCAGGCTCCTGGTGCTGTGAGGCAAAAGTGCTAATTGCTGAGCCACCATGCTGCCCCACCTTTCTGCCATTCTTCCCTCTACCAATATCCACTCACCTGGTATCCTACCTCCTTACCACCTGGAACTCTACCCCCTTACACCTTCCCATTCACCTGCTACCGTCACTCTCCCTCTCCCTCCTCATCCACCTGGCACTCTACCCTCTACCCACCTGGCACCCTTCTCTCTACTTACTTCCACCCAGTCTGCACCCTACCCATTCTAGCCCCCTTGTACCCTTCCTCCTCACCAATGTTGCTCCCTTCCCCCTACCAATACCATCCTGAACTTATATACTCACCCATTCACAGTAGCTGTGAAAGTTGTTGCTGGACATTTAAATTCCAGAATACAACACTTTCAGAGTAAGGAAAGAAGATATGGTTTCAAAAATTACCATCCCTGCTGCTGGCTGCAAGGATTCTCGCACATCTTGCTGCTTTTTCATAACAGAAGGCTCCTGTCCAGGAACTTCCAGAGCAACTAAATGTACTGATGTACATTTTTTGTCTGAAAGAGAGTTTCTCATTAGAATTTCTCAGCTGATGTCTCCAATTTATGCCTTTAGCAGATGTGTTACCAAGGCAAGTTTGTAATAGCCTTCCTTACTTGCATGAATTTTGAGTGTATGCTTTCATCTCACTTGGATGTTATACCTTTTCAGATATTCTCCGTGAGTTCAACCCTTCGTTGGTCGGATATTCCACTGGTATTGGCCGTGAAGACACTCCCCAGGCTTTCTTGAATCAGGCTGTCGCAGGAGCTGAGTCTATGTAGGTCTAAGTTCTTTAGATATTTACATGGGTGTCTGGCCTTGTCAGTCATGGGCTATTACATCCTGGCTTTTCACATCCACTCCATCCGAGCATTATGGTGCTGAATAACATTTGTACGATAGGATAACTCTGAGAATTGCAGTGATTGTCAGCAAAACGTCATTCTCTTTTGTTTATCCTAAAAGTTAGTTGTCACCTTTAGACAATTGGGTGAGGAAAGCATAATACAGGGAAATGGTACCCACTAATTCCATGCTGTAGTTCATGGTGAAGATAGCATGCTATTGTTTCTTAACCTACTCCCTTTGTCACAGTGAACTCAGTAAACTTGCTCATGAGGACAACCAAATATAAGATGAATGATGACATATTCATACATCTGGGGAGAATGCCAGTCATTGGCTGTCACAGATGATATTAGAATAAACCTATAAACCATGGCATTCCTTGCCACTTAGAAATAAAGAACAAGAAGAAAATCGATAATATTCATTGAAAACACATCAAATGTGTAAATTCTATACTGTTCTATGATATTTTTCAATATGAAATCTGAACCCTTTGAAGAAATCCCACTTAGAATGCAGTTTGTTGACTACTTTCTTTTATTCCCCAATGTTTTGCAGGGAACTGATGAGCCAAATCAGGAGCCTGGTGAAGCTGCTGAGAAATGATTCGGTAAATCTCTGACCTTATGAATGAAAACTCCAGGGCTTTAAGTGAACACAAAGCTGCCCCAGTTGCCTGGCACCAAGCTGGCAGTCTCACTGTGGGGAATTATTGGTGGGAGGACTGATGGGACAAATGATCTTCTCAAGCCAAAGTTGAGGTGCAAAAGGTGGAAGAATATTCTGCCCTGTTTCTCAACTCAGTGATACTTAGGCTGAGGCGAGGAAGGTTACAAACATTCTGAGGTTTTTCCTGACTTCCAATCCCTTCTTGATCTGCTGCTCAGCAACCCATCACCTTCCAAACCAGTGTGTCTGTTATTTTGTTTCATTTGTAATTGACTTCATGTGGGTTTGCCCCTACATGCTTTTATAACACCCTTTACTGAGTCTTTTCCAATATTCTTCTCTCAGCTCTCATGTTGGTGACACATCCTGCTCCATAGACCTTATTGAACTTGGTTTATCAGCAAACATTGAAGAAGCAATGGACGCAGATATTCAAATCCTTCTTTTTAGATTTGCTTAACAACAGATATTAAATGTGCATATTGAAAAGTCCAAAATCATTCTGAACATCCTGTAATCATTTAAAGATGAGGCGGATGTAATTTTGAAATATCAGGGAGTTGAGGGTAATGAGGAACTGACACAAAAGAGGAGTCAAGGCCTGGAGCTGATCATCTATGATCTTATTGAATACCGAGGCTGGCTTGATGGGTTGAACGAGCTCATGGTCCTATTTCTTATGCTCTTATGTTTGATAGTACGGCTGACAGACTTGAGTGGAAAGTATTCCACTCCAGCAATACTACCCTTCATCTCAATCAATACAAGGGAAAGTGATTAAAAGGAAAATAAATGGCACAATATTTTGTTTTATTGAAATTGCCACGTACATACACGTAGAGTTATTTAAATATGTATGCAACATAAATAGCAATACGCAAGGTCTAAGTAATACGGGGTATCAGGGCCTAGTAACTCCACCCACCACCACCTGCCACTTCTACGGTTACCATCAAGCCAGGGGATCAACCCTGGTTCAATGGAGAGTGCAAGAGAGCATGTCAGGAGCAGCACCAGGCATACCTAAGAGTAAGGCGTCAATCTAGTGAAGCTACAAAACAGGACTATTTACCTGCCTAACAGAATAAGCAGCTAGTGATAGATAGAGCTAAATGATTCCAGCATCAAAGCATCAGATCTAAGCTCTGCAGTCCTGCTATACCCAGTCGTGAATGGTGGAGGGCAATTAAACAACTCACTGGAGGAGGAGTCTCCTCAAGTAGCCCCATCCTCAATGATGGAAGAACCCAGCACATCAGTGCAAAAGATAAGGCCAAAGATTTTCAACAGTCTTCAGCCAGGAATACCTAGCGGACAATTATTCTCAGAGTCCTTTTGAGAACCCTAACATCATAGCTACCTGTCCTCAACAAACACAATTTACTTCATGTGATATCAAGAAGGGGTTGAAGGTACTGAGACCCAAAGTCTATGAGTTTTGACAACATTCTATCAATAGAACTGAAGACCTGTGATCCAGAAAAAGCCTTGGCCCACCCCCATCTGTTCTAGTACAGTTACAGCAGCGGCAACTACCCAGTAGCGTTATTAATGAGGCAGTGGCCTTGTGGCATTGTTATTGGATTAGGCAGGAGTTGGTTAGCTCAGTTAGCCAGACAGCTGATTTGCACTGCAGTGCAACACCAAACAGTGAGGATTCAATTCCTGCATTAGCTGAAGTTACCATAAGGATTCTCCTTTCCAACCTTGCCCCTTTCCTGAGCCATGGTGACCCTTAGGTTAAGCCACCACCAGTCATCTCCCTAATGAGAGAATAGTCCAATAGTTTGTTAAGACTATGGGGACTTTATGTTTACTGGAGTAGGAATCCACTGCCCCGGGCTATTACTATGAGGACATGGTTTTAAATCCTACTATGGCAAAATTTAAATGTAATAATATCTGGAATTAAAAGGATAATCTAATGATTGTTGTAAAAAACAGTAACATTCATTTTTGGATAGATATCTGCAGTCCTTACCTAAGATGACCCAGTCATGGCTCCAGAAATGTGGTTCGCTTATAATTGCCCTCTGAAATGGCCTGGAGAGACAATCAGTTTAAGGGCAATTAAGGATGGGCAGCAAATTTGCCTCGCCAGTGATGACCACATCCCACATAAGAATAGGAGAAAGCAGGCAGTTGTCAAGTTTTGACTGAGTGTGCATTAGGAGCGCGAGCAAAACTTAAATCAATGGGACTCATGGGGAGAAATCTCCGCTGGTTGGAGTCATATCTGGTACATCAGAAGATAGTTGTGGTTGATGGAGGTCAGTTATCTCAGTTCCAGGACATCTCTGCAGGAGTTCCTCAGGGTAGTGAGCTGGACCCAACAATCTTCAGCTGCTTCATCGATCACCTTCCTCCATTATAAGGCCAGAAGTGGAGATGTTCACTAATGATTGCACAATATTCAGCACCATTTCATGACTCCTCAGATACTGAAGCTATCCATGTCCAAATGCAACAAGACTTGGTCAAAATCAAGGCTTGTGCTGAAAAGTGGCAAGTAACATTTAGACAATACAAATGCCAGGCAACGACCATCTCCAATAAGAAAAGATTAAACCATCATCCCTTGATATGCAATGGCGTTACCATTACTGAATCCACCTCTGGGTTTTATCATAGTGCAGAAATGGAACTGGCCAAGTCACATAAACAAAGTGGCTATAAAAGTGGGTCAGAGGCCAGGAATCTTGCAGCAAGTAACTCACTTTCCGAGTCCCAAGCCTGTCTGCCATCTACAAAACACAAGCTAGGAGTGTGATGGAATACTCCCCACTTACCTGGATGGGTGCAGCTCCAACAACACTCAAGAAGGTTGACACCATCCAGTACAAAGCAGCCGGATTGATTGGCACCCTATCCATCATCTATGACATTCATTCCTGCACTTTGGTCACACAGTGGCTGCAGCATGTACTTCAACAGTTGCACTGCAGCAACTTACCAATGCTCCTGAGATAGCACCTTCCAAACACAAGAAAGACAAGGGCAGCAATTACAGGGGAGGCAATGGCCTAGTGGTATTATCGTTGGACTGTTAATCCAGAGACCCAGATAACGTTCTGGGGACCCAGGTTTGAATCCTGCCACAACAGATAGTAGAATTTGAATTCACTAAATGTCTGGAATTAAGGATCTAATGGTGACCATGAATCCATTGTCAATTGTCGGAAAAACCCATCTGGTTCACTAATGTCCTTTAGGGAAGGAAACTGCCATCCTTACCTGGTCTGGCCTACATGTGACTCCAGACCCACAGCAATGTGGTTGACTCTTAACTGTCCTCTGGGCGATTAGGGATGGGCAATAAATGCTGCCTAGCCAGCGACACCCTCATCCCGTGAATGAATAAAGAACAAAAACATATGAGTGTGCATACAAACTTAAGAACTAGGAGTAAGCCATTCAGTTCCATGAGCCTAATTCACCTTTTACTAGAACACGGTCACTCTGATTACTCCTGATAACTTTTTACCCTTTCCTTAAACAAGATGTCCAATACTGCGCATAGTACTCCAGGTATGGTCTTACCAATGCATGGGAACACCACCAACTGCAAGCTCCACTTCAAGTCATGCAGCATCCTGACTTGGAAATATATTGCTATTCTTTCAGTGTCACTGGATCAAATTCTGGCACCTCCCTCCTCAAAAGTATACCTCCGTCCCTATACCCCAAGGACAGCAGCAGTTCAAGAAGTCAACTTGCCACCCCCTTTACAAGGGCAATAAGGAATGAATAATAAATGTTGACTTAGCCATGATGCCCCGATCTTGTGAAGGAATTGAAAATCATTGCAGTGGATCTGGAGTCATGTAGGCCTGGCCAGTTATGGATGGCAGATTTGCTTCCCTAAAAAAAATTAGTGAAGCACTTTTTTAGGGGGTGGGTGCACAACTCCCAGTTTTATGGAATTGAATTTAAATTCCACGAGCTGCCACTGTCTGCTTTGAATCTATGCCCCCAGAGTGTTAGCCAAGGCTTCTGGATTACTAGTCCACCACTAGGCCTCTGAATTCCCATGGCAACGTAGCCGGTAATTGAATCAACAACAAAGCCAGAGGAGAGATGGGCAAAGCATAAGAAACAAGGCACAGGGTTGGGTGGAGATAATGGAGGGACAAGCAGGGTGAGGGGCAAATGGCAGGGGCGGGTGGGAGCCACTCTGTGGCTGTGGAATGGATTGTGGGTCGCCAGCTGATGAGGGATTAACAGTGGATTACTTATGTCTTTGTGACTCTGTTTCAACAGAGAATCAATTTTCAAGAAGATTGGAAGATTATCACCTTGTTCATCGGAGGGAATGATCTCTGCGCATGTTGCAAGGACCCTGTAGGTGATGTTGATATATACTTGCATTGAACTTTACTGGAGTCTAGAATCTCTACTTTTCCTCACTTAACTCCAGTAAAGTGTCTTCTCTTTCAATTTTCTCTCTTCTATTCCCTCCCTGTTCCAGTAACAAATTACACTGTGGAACAGTTCCACAAGATAAAGTATCTTTAGAGAGATTTGCACCCACCTCTTGGATAGGCTAAGTTATGATGGATAAATTTTAATGTGCATAAAAGTAGCAAAGCAAGAACTGGATTTATATTGCACACTTCAAATTCTCAGGGTGCCCCCTATTGCTGCATAGCTGGAGGGGTGGCAGTTGGTTAGCTCAGTTGGCTGGACAGTTAGATAGTAATGCAGAGTGACACCAAAAACACAGGTTCAATTTCTGCCCTGACTGGGGTTACCATGAAAGACTCTCCTCAACTCTCCCCTCATCTGAGGCATCGTGACCTTCAGATTAAACCACCACCAGTCATCTCTCTCCAAGCAGGGACCATGGCATCTTTACCTTTTGTAGCTGGTGTTTGGGCTTGTTTATCCCACAAACACCAATGAGGTGAATGTGTGCTGTATTAAAATGCACAAATCTTGGGCATCCTGCAAGGAAACCTACTGAATTTTCTTCCAAATGTGGGGCAGTGATTAATCTCTCAACTTAACGAGGAAGGGCAACACGTCTGGAATGGAAAGCATTTGCTTTCTGAAAAAGTCTGCATCCTGGTGCAAATTGCCACAATTGTAGATTTATGACAGGCCAACTACCTCCACCATTTTGCAATCAAGCATAAAATGAAATTAAACTGTTTACTTCCCACCTTTATGGAAGTTTGGAGGAGGTCTGTATGTGTTTGCTGAGGGCTGGGGAATTTGTACACTGGATCACTGCATATGGACCTTCTCATTCACAAGATGAATCACTCTGGATATGGGACATCAGTCAATCTATTGATCTAGAAAGAAGGGATAGCTCTTCACCATCACAGCACCTTGATACTTGACAAATAATGCTAGATCTTTGGCTGTCACTTTCATCTCCAGAATGGTATTCCATATGCATTTCACATGTGTGAAGGAGTCAATTCTAAATTTATATTGAATTTGTGACCCGTTTGTCTACTGGAACATATAAACAACTCAGAAAAAGGAGGCCATTGAGCTTTATAGGAAGAAATTGAGGGACCTCTATTCCCTGAGGTTTAGATAAATAAGAGTTGAATCCTTAAAATGTATAGAATTTTGAGAGGGTTTGGCAGGGTAGACACACAGGGATAGTTTCTTATGGCTGGAGAGTATAGTCTGAAGATAAGGTGTTCAGTGTTTCAGACTAAGCCCAGGAAAAGTTCCTTTGCTCCAGAGGTTGGGAATCTTTGGAATTCTCTGCTCCAGAGTAGCCATGGTGTGAAGGTGCCAGTGTTGGACTGCGGTGGACAAAGTCAGAAGGTCTCACGGCTCCAGGTTATAGTCCAACAAGTTGTGAGGTTAGCTTGGAGCTTGGACAGCTGGTTTGCAATGCAGAGCGCTACCAATGGTGCAGGTTCAAATCCTGTACTAGCTGAGATTACCATGAACATCCTGCCTCTCAATCTTTACCCCTCACCTGAAGCATGGTGACCCCCAGTTTAAACCACCAGCAGTCATTTCTCTACCTAATGAGAGAGTTGCCCTATGGTCATCTGGGACAATGGCAACTTTACCTTTACTGTTCATCAGGAAAGCTAGGCTAGTATGGCATTTAAGTCTGGGCAGGTTTTATTCATTGATTAGCTTGGACTTATACTAAACCATGGCAGTGAACCAAGCCTGCCCACCATTGCTGTGCACAGCATAGTACTTGACTTAACACCAGTCACCCTATTTTGAAGTAATTCATTGTGTGATGGATTTTCAGCATGAAAGGCATGATATGAGTTTTGTGATTAAATCATCATTTTCTCTCCTTTTACAATCTGTAGAGCAAATATTCTCCAGAAAACTTTACAAACAGCATCCGGAATGCATTGGATATGCTTCACAATGAGGTAAGTGTATTTCGGCGAATTTGCATTGCCCTCAAAACTTGCTAATTGGCTGGACCCTTGGCATGAACAGAGATTGAAAAAAAGCAAACTTGGTGCAATAGAATTGAAAAGTAGGTAAGTTGTACCAGACCTGTATTGAACCTTGGTTTGACCACACTGAAAATACAAAGTGTGGTTCTGGTCATACAAAGGATATACAGATAGTGAGGAGGGAGCAGGGAAGGTTTACAAGGATTATATCAGAAGTGCGAGAGTATACATTTTATGAAAGGATGAATAATTTCAGACTTTTTTGTCTTGAGAAAAGATGCTGAAGGGTGGACAATGGTGGACAATGGGGAACCTGTGGATGTGGTGTATCTGGATTTCCAGAAGGCATTTGACAAGGTGCCACACCAAAGGCTGCTACATAAGATAAAGTTGCACGGTATTACAGGTAATGTATTGGCATGGATAGAGGATTGGTTGACTAGTAGAAAGCAAAGAGTAGGGGTAAATGGGTGTTTTTCTGGTTGGCGGTCAGTGGCTAGTGGTGTGCCTCAGGGATCAGTGTTGGGACCGCAATTGTTTACAATTTACATAAATGATTTGGAGTTGGGGACTAAGTGTGGTGTGTCAAAATTTGCAGATGATACTAAGGTGAGTGGTAGAGCAAAGTGTGCAGAAGACACTGAAAGTCTGCAGAGGGATATACATAGTCTAAGTGAGTGGGCAAAGGTCTGGCAGATGGAGTACAATGTTGATAAGTGTGAGGTCATCCATTTTGGTAACAGCAAAATGGACTATGTTTTAAATGGTAAAAAATTGCAGCACGCTGCTGTGCAGAGGGACTTGGGTGTCCTTGTGCATGAATCGCTAAAAGTAGGATTGCAGGTGCAGCAGGTAATTAAAAAGGCAAATGGAATTTTGTCTGCCATTGCTCAAGGGATGGAGTTTAAAAACAGGGAGGCTATGCTGCAGCTGTATAGGGTCCTGGTGAGGCCACACCTGGAGTACTGTGTGCAGTTTTGGTCTCCTTACTTGAGAAGAGATATAGTAGCACTGGAGGGGGTGCAGAGGAGATTCACTCGGTTGATTCCAGAGTTGAGAGGGTTGGATTATGAGGAGAGACTAAGTAGACTTGGCTTATACTCATTGGAATTCAGAAGAATGAGGGGAGATCTTATAGAAACATATAAGATTATGAAGCGAATAGATAAGGTGGAGGCAGGGAGGTTGTTTCTGCTAGGAGGTGAAACTAGAACTAGAGGGCATCGCCTCAAAATAAAGGGAAGCAGATGTAGGACTGAGGTCAGGAGGAACTTCTTCACCCAAAGGGTTGTGAATCTGTGGAATTCCCTGCCCAGTGAAGCGGTTGAAGCTACCTCGCTGAATGTTTTTAAGGCAAGGCTAGATAAATTTTTGAACAGTAAAGGAATTAAGGGTTATGGTGAGTGGGCGGTTAAATGGACCTGAGTCTCAAAAAGATCAGCCATGATCTTATTAAATGGCGGGGCAGGCTCGAGGGGCCAGATGGCCTACTCCTGCTCCTAGTTCTTATGTTCTTATATTCTAATAGGGGTCTTTAAAATTGCTAAAGGTTTTGATAAGAATAGTTGCAAAGAGAATGTTTCTATATTTTGGGAGGAGTCATAACTGGAGTCCATCAATACTGAGGAGGCATGATGAAATTCAGTAGGAAATACACACAAAAAAAATTTGTTTATCCAAAATGTGGTGAAAATATGAGACAGCCCAGCAGAGGGAGTGATTGAAACAAACAGCATTGGTGCACTTAGGGGGAAGCCATGCAACTACATGAGGGAGAAGGGAATAGATCATGAAACTGATCAATGTAGAGGATTAAAGATGGAAGGAAGCTCAAGTGGAGCATGAAAACTGAAAGGAACAGAATGATCTACTACTGAGCTGTATATTGGAAATTTATGTCAGTGCTCCATTCTTCTATTTCCCTTAACCTCCCTGCTCCAAGGAGATCAAACCCAGTCTACATAACCTCTCCACGTAGTCCCTCATCCATGGTACCATTCCAGCAAACCTCTTCGCTCTCCCTAAGGTCTTGACATCCTTTCTAAAGTGTGGCAGCCGCTAAATCTAAACCAAAGGAGACAATTTCAGTTTTGGAGTTGAAAATTGACATCTACAGTCTTCATCATACAAAAGGGGTTGCATTTATGTATCATCTATCACAACCTTGGATTGTTCAAATGTATTTCACAGGCAAGGAAGTGTTTCTGAAGTGTAGTTACTGATGTTTAATAAGAATTGTGGCAACCAAGTTTCATACAAAAAGCTTAAACAAACAACAAAAGAAGGAAGACTGGATGATGTGCTGTCGTGAAATTGACCGAGAGATGAACATTGGCTAGGATATCAGGAATAACACCCTCCTCTCTCTGGATATTGCTGAGGCATCTTTTAGTGCCTTGGCTTAATATCTGAATCTAAAAGATTTCACAACTGAAAGTGCAGTATTCTCTGTGTACTGTATTGAAAACTTAGCATAAACGTTGTGTTCAAATCTGTGCATCATAACTTGCACTTATGTCCTTCTAAAATCAGAGGTGAGATTGTGGTCAATAGCCAATTGCCCAAATCAGGAACTGTCCTGATAATGCAATATCCTCAAACCCACCTCTCTCAGCAGCAGCAACAAAACAAAGTTGCTGGAAAAGCTCAGCAGGTCTGGCAGCATCTGAGAAGGAGAAAACAGAGTTAACATTTCAGGTCCGGTGACCTTTCCTGTCCTGAGGAAGTGTCACCGGACCCAAAACTTTAACTCTGTTTTTTCCTTCACAGATGCTGCCAGACCTGCTGAGCTTTTCCAGCAACTTTGTTTTTGTTCCTGATTTACAGCATCCGCAGTTCTTTCAGTTCTCTCAGCAGCAGTATACTTTGTATTACTTACAGTTAGCTAGCCAGATAGTTGCAGATTGATGCTACTTTTTCATTTTGTTTTCAGGTCCCACGAGCTTTCGTGAATCTGGTGACGGTTCTCAACATTTTACCATTGCGTGGGCTTTTCACTAACACAAGGGTGAATTGTCCACGGTTCCTCTTAAAGTTTGTATTCTGTTTAACCAAATTTTCCATAAGAAATCACAGTTAATAACTATCAAATGCATTTTGATTACAAATCATTAACAGCAGGAAGGAAGAGTGCTGAAAGCCTTGACCTGTTCAGCTCTGACCTATCTGTTTAATTATTTTTATATCTTTAATGGCATACATTATATCACAGTAATAAAGTTTCCACTGAAGCCTCCAGTTATATGTTCCTAGTAAAACACGGTTCTACCTTGAACCTAGAATACAGCAAAGCAGTTCCCCAGCCTGTGTTTGGTTTTGCCAATGTGAAGGAGCAGCATCATTTCGAATGCAGTAGACTAAATTGAGAGAAGTACAGGTAGACTGCTGCTTCACCCAGACAATGAGGAGGGAGATGGTGAAAGGGCAAGCGTTGTACCTTCTGGAATTTCATGGGAAGTTACCAAGAGGGTTGAGGTCATGTACACCACTCCCCAAAGAGATTTTGTGCCTTTATCATTTCTTATTTCTTCCCAAACTGTTTCCACATCTTGGATTTCTGAAGTTAAATCATCACTTTCTGTTGTGCTAATGCCATCACTAAGTAACAGAGGCACCCCTACACCTTTCCTTGTTTTCCTATTATTCCTAAATGTCCTGTATTCTTCAAGAGTCAGATCCCAGTCTATCATCTGGGAGCCACGCCTGTAATGGTTACCAGATCACACCAATCTATTTGTATTTGCAGTCTCAGTTCTTCAGCTTTGTTTTGAATGTTATGTGCATTCAGATACAGAATCTTTAGTTTTACCCTTTAGTCACTTTGTAAATTTTACTTTTATTTGTTGGTTGACTTTTAGATTCATGCAATCTATCCTTTCCTCTCATGGTCTGTTTGCCATTTATCTTTCTCTTTGACCTTGACTCAATTCTTTGATTTACCAAGCATTCCCAAATGTCACCCTTGCCCCCAATATGTTAAGTATGATACATTCCAATTCCCTAATTGTTTAGTCAGAAAGGATGTCTGACCCAGCGTGGTTCAGCTAGAGACTGTTCTATCAGCACAAATCCAAAACTAGAGCCAGTGGCCCATGAACCGGAGCTCACTTCTTTCACACCAAATCTTGAGCCAAGGATTCATCTTTTGAATCTATTTGCCTTATGCTAATTTACAAGTAGCTCAAGTAATGATGGTCTTGTGGTTTTATTTTTTAATTTGGCGCCTATATCCTCATAGTGACAATGCAGAACCTCGTTTATCCTGCCTGTGTTGTTGAAACCTACTTATCACCTCTCCCCATTGAAAGTTCCTCTCCAGCCCAGAGCAAATGTCCCAGGCCATTGCACCAACAGAAACACAACCCTCTTGGCTCTTTGCTGTAGAGAATGGTGTCACTATGTTGTCACCTACTATTATTACACTTTTTCTTACTCCTTCCTCTTGAGTGGCTTCCCTTATCACTGTGCCATGGTCAGTTTGCTCATTCCATCCCACAGCCATCACTCCCATCCAGACAAACTAAAATAACCCCTTTTTGACAATTGCAAAGACTGAGATCCCTGTTCTCCTGCACTTCAGATCTCCCTCACCTGCCTCACTCGCAGTTGTATTCTCTTGTCCCTGAACACTGACTAAATGAGATGACTCAACCCTAAGAGGTGCGAATGCCTCCTGGAACAAAGAATTCAGGTAACGTCCCTCTTTCTGAAGTGTCACAGTGTCTGCAGTTCAGCTCATAGAGACTGAGGCAAAGCTGCTCAAACTTCAAACACTTGCCTCTGACATGTTGCTGTGGACCAAACTAGCATCTAGAAACTCCCACATGCTGCAGATGTATCACAGAACCTGTCCTGCCATCCTTAGATTTTCATGAAGTATATTTCAGATTGTAAACATCTTGCTGTGATTCCTGTGCTATTTATTTTAAACCCTCTCAGTACTTGGCAGTGGGAGTGAGTTCTCTTTAGTTACGACTCACACAAGATTACTATCCAACAATACAATAAAATACAATATCCTTTTATTGTCACATGTAATCCATTGTAGGAGTACAGTGAAAAGCTTTTATAATGTTTGTCTTCTTACGGTGACATCTTAGGTACAAGCACCTAGGTACGGTTCTTGGATACAGCAGAGGAATAAAAGTAGTTGCTTAATTACAGAGTTGAAAACAAGTTAAAAATAGGAAAATATTAAGGGGTTAACATTATAGTGTCCTAAGGTAAGTTCTAGGGTAAGGATTTTTCCCATCACACCGGTCTCCGTCCAGCTCCAGAGCTGTTTCCCATGTGCTGCTCTGGGACTGTTTCCCATGTGCTGCTCT